CCTAACATTACTGTAGTCCTAGGTCTGATTGGGGGACAGGGTGAATTGAGTTCTTAATTTTTATTGAAGTTCACTGTAAGCTAGTTCCCTTAACTCAGGTTTTAAAATAGAAATGACATCATAAAAATAATTGGAGCTGTTTTTGGCCAGTGCCTGCAGAGGTCCCTTTAACCTCCTTTGTTACTTGTGAGACTTTCCCCAGTCAGCCTCTGGACAAACGTAAAGTGGAAAAGGTGCAGTCCATAAGCCCCTTTATCAGCATTTCACCATCAATCAAAGCCTGGGCAGATGCCTACTACCAATCAGAACCCTGAAACAGCTCCAGCTGCTTAACGAAGCTTAATCTACAGCTTTTCCCCAGGGAAGTCTAACAATAGTGGCAACTTTAACTCTCAACGTATGAGATTACATGCAAATGTTTACAAAGAGTGTATTAAATGCTCTAAGTGTCATTAACTAATCTGAAGTTATTGAAACTAGAAGCATTGCTTTTAAACTGTTGCAAAGTCAACGAGAGTACAAAACCAGCAAATTTGGATTTTAAGATAGTAATCTTGTGATCCCCTGTGAACAGTAATATGCAACACTTCTGTTAGGGACAGACATTTAAAAAGCCTGAGCCTGAATTGATTCAATCTTTGTAGATTAGTCTAACCTACAGAGACTGAACTGGTTTGCAAGTGTATAGACATCCCCTTTTCATTCCAGAAATGCAGGTATAATATACCTGTGATGGCTCAGGACAGAAGCCCAGGGGGTACTAAAGCAGCCCTCCCTTTCCTTTCACAGGAAAGCTGAGCTGACAGGGGAGGGCATGCCTGGGTAGGCCCAAGTAAGACTGAGGAAGGGTTTAAACCCCAACCTTGGCCTGCAGGCTTCCGAGGGTGGGGGAAGAGTGAGCATGTCCAGACCCCCGTGGCGGTGGAGGAGGAGGGAAGAGCTCTGCTGCCCCAGCAGCTCCCTGACAGCCAGCAGCAGTCAGGTCACACAGCCCTGCCCATCCCAAGAGGGGGACTTTTCCCCCTTTTTCCCACCCACCCGATGTGGGGCAGGGAGGAGGGACTCTGTGCAGGGCTGCCCAGCCCTGGAAGGGGACTCTTCCCCCTGCTCCTCCTTTCCTCTCCCCCCACAGGACAGGGAGGAGAGCTCTGTTCAGTGCTGGAGAGGGACTCTTCCCCCTCATCCTTCCCCCCTGCTCCCCGGCAGTGGGGGCAGGGACTAGGAGGACTATGTGCAGGGCTGGCAGGCCTGGCCCGGCCTGGGCATAGCGAATGGCTGTCACTGAGCTGCAGCTGCCAGGAATGGCCTCACCCCCACAGTCTGGGCCAGCCTCGCTCAGCCCCGGCCAAGGCAGCCACCCCAGTAGCTGCAGGTCAGTGATGGGGAGGCTGAGCCCTGTCAGCAAGTGCAGCCTGGTCTGGTGTGCACGGCCAGCAGCTAACCAGGCAGTGGGCTACCTGGGCTGGCTCAGAGGCACCGTGGGGGCTCGTGGGTCTACAGCGAACCCCTGCAGTGGGTGGCTGCCAGGCTCTGGGCTTGCTGGTGCCTCCGAGCCGGCCTGGGTAAGCCACTGCCTGGCCAGCCACCGCCCACACGTGCAAGGACAGACTGTGCTCCTGACAGGGCTCAGCCACCCTGTCACTGAGCTGAAGCTGCCAGGGACGGCCCTGTCCCCACAGTCCAACTGTGCAGCTGCCTTGACCAGGGCTGAACAAGGGGGTTAATTCTTCCCTCCGTCCCCCAGGGCCTTTCAGCCCCCGCTCCCTCTGCTGCTTGGAGGCAACAGGCAGACCCCGGCTGCGGTGAGGGAGGAGGGGAAGGAGGAAAGAATTAACCCCCACCCTGCCCACTACGCCTTAACGGGGCCATGCCTGCCAGTTTCTCGCCAGGTCTGTCCCCATCCCTGTTCAAGCTGGAGAACAGAGGGGCAGGGCCAGCAGGATGATTCATGCTATTACTACATTGTCTGTTTTTGTTTTTAAGTAATAGGCATCCAGATAGAGTCATGTTGGATAAAACTAAGTAGCAAAGAAATAGGTTGAAAAGTCAAATAACCTAGTAAATAACATTATGAAATCTCACACAAAAGACTAATTAAAGAATATTGGTCTTCTCCTTTTGTTGACCTGAAAACATTGTAGAGATGATAATGCTTCTGGGGGACACTGTGGATGAGGTGCATAATTCAATGCACCCTACTTAAAGGCATTTCAAGTCTCCCTTACTTTACTATCTGCAGGGCAGGTATTATGACCACTGATAAATGCCACAGCTTATAGCATAGTGTAAACAGATTTGGGAAAAGATGCATTTCTGAAAACGAAAAAAATATTGACATAGTAACGTTTCTATAGGGATGAAGTTAAGAGTTTTGGACTGCTGTTATACTAGTCCTCACGTATGCATCAGAATGCTGGATAACAGAGGTGCACTGATACATCCATCCATATTATATTAGATCAGTAGCAATAAAAGGAAAGGGTCTTCAAGAGGAGGTTAGATGGTCATCTGGCTGGGGTCATCTGAACCCAGCCCTCTTTCCTGCCTATGCAGGGGGTTGGACTCGATGATCTATTGAGGTCCCTTCCGACCCTAACATCTATGAATCTATGAAAATTGACATTATGAGTAATTGGCTTTTTTTGGCTGATAACGTCACCAATAAATGCCGCATTCATGTGCAGCCATAGTACAGCATGCAGGCAGCCAGGAGCACAGCCTGGCAGCATGGAAAGCAGCGTCCGGCTGGTAAGTCTGTCATGGGGGAAGGGCAGACCGACACCCCCATAGTGAGACAGGGAGTGGAACTGACTCTGGGGTTGGGAGGGCGCTGACCAGCCGGGGTGTGACATGAGACAGAGCCGTGGCTCATCTAGGGAGGGGAGGAGGCGCACACAGCTCCTGCCACTACATGCAACCCAGGAGGGAATGGGGGGAGTGTGCCCCTGAAATCTGTGCGCGGGGCAAGGGCAGGCTGCAGGCACCAGGCTCTTCCCAGGAGGGCGCTGAGCCAGGCTGTGCTCAGGGCAGGCAGCGATGGTGCTGGGAAGGGGGCTACAGGATGGGCTACAGCCACCCCAAAATTCACCATAGCCCCCCCCATCATAGCGCCACTGCTACCCCCCATTGAGAACAGCCCAGTGCTGCCCACAGCAGCAGCCCACCCTCACCCCACACATAGATCCATGGGGGAGCACATACCCACTCCCTCCCTCACTGCAGGGGCCTCAGTCTGCCCCCCCTATGCCCCTTCCCTCCCAACAGACTTACAAGCTGTACACCTCTCTCCATGTTGGTGGGCTGCATATCAACAATTGAATTGGTATCGGCCAATGTGGCTCATTAAAAAACAGCCATCAGTATCGGCCCAAAAAATCTCTATCGGCACACCCCTATTGGACACTATTGTCAAGTATGGTAAAGAGAATTGAAGCGAGTGGAATGTGGTTCTGAAGATATGCTGGACAAGTCACACTTCAGTGAAGATATTTTCTTAAGAGCAGGCTGCAGACGGAAGCTACTGATTAACATCGGAAAGAGACAGCTGGAGTTTCTTGGACACTGTTATAAGGAAACAGAAATTGAAAATATTGTTGCAACTGGAAAGACTGAAGGAAGGATAGATTACGGAAAACAGAGACGTTTGACATAAGTCAGCCTATCTAAATGGATGAATGTATTGACACTAGAAATTCTGTATCCCTCAAAGAGAAGAGATCTGTGGAAGACCATGGTCACCAATGTCCTGTTTGGATACTATACCTAGAGCGCGAGAGAGCGCGAGAGTGAGAGCGATATGCACCCCAGAATAACAAGCCTTGATGTATGTAATTTAAGTTACCCAAAATCCTGCAGTCAGGGACTGTCCTGAGGAGGTAGCCTGTAGCAGAAATCAACTGCAAAGCTTAAAGTCACATCTCCTGAAAGTCCCATTTGCTTTATACATATAGCATTTTCAACAACAGGTACTGTCTTCTAACAGCACACACACAGAGAAATACAGGAAGCCCGTTTCACTTCCGGCTTTTCAGCTGGAATCCAGTCTAACTTCTCCCTTTTTCCTTTACTTAACAGGGATAAGCTGCCCACGGGAACTGATATGTAATACAGCCTGCCTACATAAACTGCCCACTGCTGTTCCAGTTACAAGAGTCTCAGACATGCACTATTTGAACATTTCTACACATTCAGACATTCACAGTCAGTTTTGAACCCAAGATGAACCTCCCAGTACACTGAAAAAACTGAAAACAAAAAGAAGAAATTAACTTTATGGCACTTCCATTTTTATTTTCTTCTAGAAAATCCAACCCTAAGCTTTGGCAGCTATCAGCTGAACACGCACATACACTACCCCTGCAGTTCTATAAGATTAGTCTGTGCCAATCAACTATTTTATCAGTTTCTGTGCATCTATTTACAGAACTCAGCAAAATCTAGATGATTAGGATGTTTGCAAATAAAGCAAGTTTACTTTAAACCCTTTTCACATTACCTTACCTTTTGCAAAATCATCTTTGTTCCCCACATACTATTTTTTTTCCTGTCTCTACTTGCAATATCCTGTTGTAAATACAGCCATATCAATTGTTTGCACTCTGCTTTCATGTTTTAAATTACATACAGGGATTGTCCAAATAGTTTCTAACTTGCCTCTCCTGGTAAGAGCATTGGTATCTACTGTCCCCACCCGAACTAAAAACTCAACTCTCTCACTTGGTGAACTCAATGCTGTATTTTGGAAAGACCACACTGTAATTTACCTGCCAGAGACCAAAGACACAAACTTGTACATGAGATCCACAGGGCAAAGGAAAGCAGACGAGTAAATGAATATTTACATTGCAAAGGGGCCTCAAGAACCCTGTCAGGCAAGCAAGCTATGCATCTAGATGCAAACATACCTTTATAATGGGCCTATTTCCTGTTTGGATGCAGCCTCATGAGAGTTACTGCCGTTACCGGAAGACTTTTACACCACTGCTACATACAGCACATACCCTTCAGTTAACCGTGCATGTGCCGGAAGAGCATTCCTCACCGACTGCGCTGCAAAGGTGCGGGCAGCCCACGCCAGCCAGGCCAGAAGCATTAGCGCAGCGTCCCTGACCCCGCAAGCCAAGCTTCGTAGGTCCAAAGTTATATCCGAAGCATTTGCTATGGCTACTTTGACACTGAGGGAAGCATGAACACACAGAAGCACTGACACACACAGGCTACTTCGGAGGGCAAACGGGGACACAAGCGTCTTCTTCCAAGCAGCACGAGGCACCTGAGTGCAGCTCTGCCGCCTTGCAGAGGGCCCGCGGGGTGGGGTGTGCAACCCCCCACCCCGGCCTGTGTGCTCCGCTGAAGGCCTGGCAGGGCTGCGGGCTCAGGGCAGCCGGGCTCTGGCTTTCACAGGAGCTGCCTCCTGCCAGAGCCTCTCCCTGCAGCCCAGCGGCTCACCTGCGGCTAGCAGGCGGCGCCCCTGCTCTGCCAGGTCCCCAACCCCGCACCCTGCCACCAAACAGCACCCGAGGGGCTGGACCTGTGTAGGCGCCCCGCGCCCCGCC